GTGTGTGTGTGTGTGTGTGTGTGTGTGTGAGAACACTCAGCTCTTTATGTCTAGCCTTCATTCTTGTGTGCACTGAAGCATATGGGTAGACCTGACTGGAGAACGGACTTGGATAAGAGCGATATAAAGCCAGACTCTCCATTAGGTGTGTGTGAGTGTGTGTTTGAATGTTCTGTGCATTATTAACATTCCATGCTTTAGGGGCATTCATTGATCATTATAAGGGTTAAAAGAATGTTCCGGGTTGAATGCAAGTTAAGCTTTGTGGACAGCATCTGTGACACTGCTGACTGACACAGAAAACTATTGCGACTTGATTTGTGTAAAACGAGGAGGAAAATCCACCATGTTGCTAATGCATAGTCACAAATGTATCCCCCTAGAAAAGTAGGTGTACTTCACCTTTAGCTTCTGTGAACAGTAAAGTAAAACCTTTGATTTGTTTGGCTATCTCAGTCAGTTTGGGACTGACAAGCACTTTTATACCATTAGACCTGCCTAATTGTTTGCCTAACAACAGATTTTAGCTTAATTTAGTGCAGCAGAGCATCATCAAGAACAACAAATATTGGGGAACAATTTGGCCACGTCTGACTGTTGTTGAGGACTCGTCTGTGGTGGTTACGGTCCTGTCACAGCTCACAGTAGCCCATCACAACCAGGCCACGCTCATCTGTTTCGCTTCACTCTGAGCCTCAGGTTATCTTTCCTTCTCTCCATTCATCTGTCCATGCCTCCCTCAGTCTGTGTACGGTTTCGTGTTTGCTATCATTCTTTCGATCACTCTGTCTTTGCTTTAAAGCCCAGTCTATTTATCCTCTTTCATATCACACCATTTGTTTTCACTTCCTCAATCCGTCTTCCTTGTCCACACATCCACCTCATCAATCTGTCTTCCCGTCCTCCCTCTGTCCACCTGTGGTCTGTTTTTCCTCTTCTTCCCCACCATCCCACTCTTCAGTAATTTCACCTGGCTGGGAGCCGAGTGCTAATGAGAGGGTAATCAGAGTGATTTCGGGCCCCAGGCTTCTGCAGGCCCTCGGGGACCCAAGCTCGGTGGAAAATGCACAGTTAATACTGTCTTATTAAACTTCCCTCAAGGGGCCAAAGCTTCACACACGGTCTCAGTCCCAGAGTGAAGAATGCCATTGTCAGCTGACCTCTGATCCGGCTGTCTTTCCTGCAGATCAGCAAGTCTTAATGGGATTGTCTTGACTGCTTGGGCCCTGCTCTGCTTAACCTGGGTGGGGGGTTGGTTTTAAACTCCTGTAGCCAGTCTAAATACTTTTTATACTTTTAAAGATGGTATAAAGATATCAACATACATCCCTGTTGAGTAAAACTCACAATAGTCCTGCAAAGAGGCCTGTCTTATGAAGAACTTGGCAATGAGTTGACAAAACCAAATCAAACCTGGGTTCAGTGGCTTCACAATGTTTGCTATAAATTACCTCAGGGTTTGATTTTGAGTTTATGATTAATGTGCATCTGAAGGAGTGACGTTTATAGTGAACAGCCAATTCGCTCTAGACAAGACCAGTTCTACAGAGACGTTAAGCACCCTCAAACAAACGTCAGATAAAACTACAGAGCGCTGCAGTGATGTTTTTGTAGGCCAGCCTAGAAGTTCACATCACCCTGGTTCCCTCGACAGAATCCCAAAAGGATTTTTCCACTGGCTTTTGAATTATTGCAGAAAATGA